TTCAAGTCCCCCCTTACAGTGGGGCTGTGCCCACCCTTCAAGGGTTACCTGTTCCTTTAGTCTAGGGAAGAGTAAAAGCACTTTAACTTAGCTGATCCCCAGCTCCCTCAGCAGATGGCAGTAACCTGGGTTCCAGCAGTGAACTGTCCCTTGGCATCATTGCATCCAGTGCAGGGCACTGTTCTTGATCACATCAGGACCTTACATGATTGGAACATGGTGGAGAAGATGCTTCAGGGACTGTTTTAGCAGCGTGAAGGATTTTATTTTCTATGCTCCTAGAGCTTAGTACACACAATGAGAATATTGGATGAATGAGCGTCCATTTTTTTTTCGCATGCTAGTCTCGTTTCGAAAACGAACAGGTTACTAAAGTTCAGAAAATTCTCATAAGACAGAATATAACTTCGGAAGTGTATTGTAATGTATTCTTTAGTTTCTGAGTATCAGCGGCCTTGGTCACTTGATTTTTTTGGAAACAAATACTATACTAATTACACGAAAATCGTTTGTTCTGTTATCTCATGAGAAAAAGTTTTGTGCTCTCCCCTTCGGATATTTTCGCATGAACTCTTATGACCGCCTCTCAAAAGCTGTGTACTATCAATCATATTATCAGACGATTGCTCTGAAAGCATTTTTTTTCATCCAATTTTCACATCATGTGCACAAGGCATTAGACCTAAAATAGCAATTAAACCTTGCAGCTGGCGTGCAGTTCTCCTTCAAGGGATGATTTTTCATTTTAAGGGGAGATTCTGTTCTGCCTTTAGCAGATCCCACTAGCTCAGGGGTGGGCAACTGTGGCCCTCCAGCTGTTGGTGAACTACAAGTTCCATCATGCCTCTGCGAGTCATGCTTGTAACTGTCAGTTTTGCAATGCCTCAGCTGGAGGGCCACAGTTGCCCATCCCTGCACTAGCTACTTCAGGTGAAAATAAACCCAAAACAGAATAAAATACCATATTCCATGTGCATCTGTTGTCCTCTGTTTACCTTGTAAGCTGCGTCGTATAGCACATCTAGAAATATACATTTATCAATTGCTCCGATTCCCATTTCTGTTATGGGGTGGCCATGTTCAGGGCTCATTGTCCTGTTGTATTTGGAAATAGAACTCCCTCTGTTAGCTTCCCAGATAGACTACAGAATCCTCTTAGATTGTAAGCGCTAACGAGCAGGGCCCTCTGTTTCCTCTTGTACAAAATTGCTTTAACTGTAATGTCTACCTTCATTTTGTAAAGCGATCTGCAAACTGTTGGTAATATATAAATCCTGTATAATAATAATTCACAAAATCACTACCCACGAGCTTCATGACTGATAGCGGGACCAGGAAAAGCAAACATTTGATTCAAGTTTTGTGCTCGTCCCTGGAGGCTAAATGATGGTGGGAAGTACCAGCATGAATAAATGACAATGCGGAAGAGTAAGGCTTGCAAAGTAGAATTTGTAGTGCAAGAACAGAGCATGAGATTTCTCAATACCTGCACTGCTTGTAACGGAGAAGTGGAAGAGAAGGGAAAATTAATATGAAAAAAATTGTAATAAACTATGTAAACATCAAATGATGATTCTACAAAGTGGTGTGGTTTAGAACATTCTGCTGGATCTGAATGTTACTTTCACATGGAGAATTTAGTTACACTTTGGGTTCTAGTGATGTTTATAAAAACATTTGCTGAGTGAATGTCAAGTATTCCCACAGCCATGACAAATAATCCCTGTAATTTGTCTAATAAGTTTATCTCCTATAATGATCAGTGCCATCTAGTGATCACATTGCAGTATTTTCCTAAAATACTGCAATTCAGGGAAAATGGTGGCTAAATGGAGAAATCAACCACAGGAAATAAACCTATTAGACAAAATACAGGAATATTCCCCTCTGTTTTCACCTGGTGATCTGGCCAGTAGCACACCTCCTGTATTCGAGCGTCCACACTCTAGATGAAGGAGCACAGAAGGCACAGCAGACAACACTTCCAGTCTGGAGGAAGGGTAGTGTTAGATGTACTAGCAGATTTGGATACACTAACAAACTGCAGCTGAAGTCCAGCTAAGTCTTAGGTCACACTGTATCCGACTTTGAAATCCTGTGACTTCACTTGAATTCACACGATTTCAAAGTTGGATGTCAGTTTGCCTTCATGCACAGATGTGCAACTCCAATGCAGTCGGAATTGCGCCAATATGACCGCTTCTATTGCGGACAATAGGGTGCGACTTGTCATGCGATTTAAAACGATCAAATTGCATGACAAGTTGCACCGGTTTGACACTTTATAAGCAGTTATTACAACAGTTTTTTTTTTACTTTTTGAGATAAAGGTTTTACATAAATAAAGCTAATGACTGGAAGCGCTCCTACCAGTGTTGAATGTTTTGTCTCATCACTGTAACGGATACATTCAAGAAAGCTTGTTTTTTAAAAAAAAAAAAAAAAAAACAGACTTACTGGCAGATCATCAGGTGAAAATAAACAAAAGAATGCCTAAAAAAAACAAATAGCTAATTCACACGTGCTGTGTGGATTGACTTTCAGGTTCACAGCTAATTGACACAGTAGGTGTTCACAGGTTCAGGTCAGGATTACATAAGGATCAGCTCAGGATTTTATCCTGTTCACACGTCAAGTTTAGAAATGATTCCCATAGAAGTCAATAGCTTGTAATCCGCACCTGAACTGGTGCGGATTACACACTGCTCAGAAGTTGTACATGACTCTTTTTCAAAATGCACTGAATCCGCACCGCCAGTGCACCGGACATATGTAAACCGGAGCGATAGAAAGCAATGGCTTAAACCGCATCCAATACACATATATGTGATAGGTTGTGGCAGCTATCACATCTAAGACTAGAATCACATCTATGCTGATCTGCAGTGTGTTGTTTGTTTTTGCACATGCCTTTGATGAGTTTTGCATTTTTTTCCTCGTTGCCAGGCAGATTTAAAATGCAAAATGCATCAAAAACGTGGCAAAAACGCACTATATGCTTTTCTGCAGCATTTTTTTTTTTTGCATTGAAGTCTATAGAACCAAAAATGCTACTTTTTGCGTTTAAAGAAGTCCCTGACCCTTCCCAAAAAACGCACTGGGTGAAAACGTGGAGATGTGAACCTGTCCCATAGGAAATCATGTTAAATGAACTGTAGTGCACTTCTGCAAAAAGCTGCAAAAACTGCTTAGGTGTGAACCTAAGGTCGGAATTGGGAAGCTGCAATCTAATAAATGTTTGCTTTTGAGTTTAATACGGCTTTAAAGCACAAGTCTTTTATTTTGTACAGTATCCTTGTGGAAAGCAGAAAACATTATTTATTATTATTATTGAAAACATTGATTAGAAAGTGGACTTTAATCCCAGAAAGATCATTAACAGTGGTTCAACCAGAGAGTCCAAGAAACGCTGACTTCAGTCTTGGGTGGATGACAGCAAAAGAAATCATCTCTTGTTCTACCATAATCAGACAAAAGTCACATTGAGCCCGGGTTTATTTGCACAGGAACCACACCGCATTCCTGTGCAAATCACATGCGATTTGTGTGCAGTGCGATTGGAGCCATATATTTTGTATGGCTCTACTCGCACCCACACCAAAAACGTGCAAGACCCTTTTTTGGGTCCACACTAGAATCGGATCACATGGGTATTCACACCTATGAAATCCAATTCTGCACATCACACCGCATTTTGCGGACCGCTTTCGAGGTGTTAACATACACACCCGAATCGGTTTGCATGAACGGGGTGCGATTCTGATGCAGTATTCGCACTGAAAAACGCTGCAAATTCCACACTGCATCAGTGTGAACCAAGGGAAGAGAGACACATGACTGACACTACACCAATGGATTTCTGTCCAATTAAATGGGCTGGAATTATTAGGCTAGGTTCAAGTCTCTGCGTGTTGCAATTGTTGCTTTCTTCTGACACACCCTGTGTTTTTGAACATGCAATTTGCGTTTTGTTTTTTTGCCAGTAGGAAAGTATTGACTCTAATCTGACCTTGGATGGATGCGACTTTGATGCAACTTTAAATTAGGTGCGACTTGGATGCAACCTTTATGCTACAGCACAGTGGCTAAATGGTTAGCACTTCCGCCTGGCAGCACTAGGGTTGCTGGTTCAAATCCTAACCCTGGCACCAACTGCCTGGAGTTTGCATGTTCTCCCTGTGCCTGCATGGGTTTCCTCCGGGTACTCCAGTTTCCTGCCACACTCCAAAGACATGCTGGTAGGTTAATTGGATCCTGTCTAAATTGGCCCTAATATGTGTATGTATGAATGTGAGTTAGAGACCTTAGATTGTACACCCCTTGAGGGTTAGGGACTGATGTGAATGTACATTATATATGTAAAGCGCTGCGTAAATATAAGTGCCAGAGAGTGCATCAAAGTTACACTACATGAACGGAACTGTCGTATTTTCCTATTAGCATAAAAAAAAAAAAAAAGGTTGCACCCATCCAAAGTCATATCAAAGTCACTACTTTCCTATTGGCAACCCCGAAAAGCATGAAAATGCACGTTTCTGCCGCATGTCCATTGAAGTCTTTTGAACCAAAAAAAAAAACACATTGTGCTGCATTTATAAAAAAGTCCCTAACCCTTTCAAGAAACGCATAGAATGTGTCTCATAGGAAACCATGTAACATGGACTGCAAAATGCACAGGCGTGAACCAGGCCTGAAGAAGGGGGTCTCCATCCTCCACTGCACTCTTCATTTATATTACAACATGGAGATTACAGCAACAGGAGTGAGACTCACACTGCTGCAGACCACCAGGCCAGTTTCGACCACCCAAAGCTATCAAGTCAGGACTGACCCTTTGTGTCGTCCTCCTGGCATATGGGAGCAGTAACCTTCCCTCCTCAGTCTGGGACAGGATTGCCCATCACATGGAAGCCTACAGAAAGCAGCACACAATGTAGGTGGCTTGTCAGGATGGTTCCTCCATCACCTGAGAACGAGGGGCTTCTCCCTGCCTCGCCTACCTTATAGCGGTGCCCGGACCGAACAGCATGCTGGGCTGCCCCGGCCAGGCGGCAGATAGTAAGAGAGCCCCCCTCAGCGCCGGAGCATAGGCACACGTACAACTCCCGTGCTGCTACAAGACGGCGGATGACATCACGGCCATGTGACCAGGCACAGGCTGCACATCACTAGGTCATGTGACCGCTCACTGTAGCGGATCCGCCAGGAGTGAGGGGAGGTGGAATGGCGGGCAGAGGCGATGTGTAAAGAGGTGGGCTGGGGCTGAGGGGTGACATTCCACCGTGTACCTAGGCAACATGCATTGTTTCCTTGAGTCTTGTCCCAACCAGTGTGTGTGAGCCAGAAGCTGGTCCATGGGTGCCAAGCTGTTAGGCTACTTTCACACTGAGGAGTTTTTGCAGCGCTTTTATGTTTAAAAAAAAAAAAACAAAAAGTGCACTTAAAAATCTCAAGAAAAATGCTTCCCTGTGTATGTCTATGTATGTTTTCACACTGGGGTGTTGCGCTTCCATTGCGGTGTGAAAATTGCTTGCAGCATCTTTGGAGCATGTTTGTTCAGTTTAAAAAAAGCCCTAAAAATGCTTCTTCCCATTGAAATCAATGGAAACCGCCTCAAAAATGTCTCTGAGAAGCATTTTTGGTGCAGTTTTTTAGGTCACGTGTCCTTTACAAAAACGCTAAACACGGTAAAAATGCATATGGGCAGCACAGTAGCTAAATGGTTAGCACTTCCGCCTGGCAGTACTAGGGTCACTGGTTTGAAACCCAACCATGGCACTACCTGCCTGGAGTTTGCATGTTCTCCCTGTGCTTGCTTGGGTTTCCTCCGGGTACTCCGGTTTCCTTCCACGTTCCACAGACATGCTGGTAGGTTAATTTGATCCTGTCTAAATTGGCCCTGTAGCAATCATGCGCACAGGGATGGACGCGGTACAACCATTTTGGCTCCAACCTCCATCTTGGCAAAGGATCATCCATCTTGTACAAACATCTCTCCTCTCATTCTCCCCCCTCCCTCTCTGAGAGTCACAGTGACATGTGGTCGTGTGTGTGTGTGTGGAAGTGTCACAGGCCGGCCAGGGCACAGCAGGAAGCTCCGAGCTATTAACCATCTTTGAGGTAGGTGCCGGGCCGGCTGGGAAGCTGAGCAATCTGGCACCTCGTAAAAAGATAACCAAGCCTTCCCCTGAGTTCAAAGACACTCCAGAGGAGTAAGGAACTAGATAACACTTTTAAAATCCATTTTTCCCCTATGTCTCATATCTTGGAATATGAGAGACTTCCATAAAAACCAGGCATATCTTAAGATTGGCCCCGAGAAGACAAATTGTTTAATAGGTCGCACTCCCTGACTGGAAGACCTAGGAAAGTAGAAACTGAATTCTCTTGAACCATTCAAGTCTGTATTTTATATTTCATATCTAACCGTTCCTCAGAAGCATCTGCATATTAATCTACCTGCGGGTGGGATGGTACTTGTGCCTAGGAAAAGTTATGAGCCAAAATATGAGCTAAAAGATTTTGGTTCTAGTTTGGGTCTCCGCCCAGACAATCCCTCCCCAAATGAGGCATTGGTCCTTGGCTTCAGAGACACCCCCTGCTGGGGGACTACAAATTAGGCTGTCAGTCCTAAGAGGTTGAAGAATTCTCCCATTTAACATCAGAACCAACTTGAGAGACGTGCTCTTTTGCTCTGAAACTTGATCTGCTTAACCCAAGGCTGATTGGCAAGTACTTTAACCCTTTTGAAATTAATAATACTCGTGAGCCAAAATGTGATACTCCCCTTCTGCAATAAATTAATTAACAAACTATTACATCAAATTATGGTGCATCAACACTTTATACAATACTCATTATCTGTGTGAAACATAAAATATATAAAAAAGTATATATATCTTCAAATACATATACAGGTGCCGCGCGCTCCATAATATAAACTTAAAATCATATACAAGTGATCATATAAATAGTGATGTTAAAAACTTATGTGCTTCAAATCAGTGCAATATATAGTGCTTTTCAAAATATTACTAATTAAATACTCAAAAATAAATTCATAAATAGTCCTCTTTGTACTTTAAATGCCGCTCGTCCACCGTGGCATCGCGGGGAGGGGCTCTGACGTCACGACGCCGCGGTGGACGAGCGGCATTTACAAGCACAGGATCTGGGCACAGCTCTGTTGGATACTGCATAATGTGAGTGGCGATTTATTCTAAATAAAAGATTTAACCTCACAAAGGATAAGGCACTATTGTGGCTCTTTCTTACATGGTTTCCCAATTTACTGGGAGGAGGAAATACTACTTAAACCATCCCTAACTATCCATTGAGGCTCATTGTGGAAGGAGGAATAAGGGAGACCTCTGGTGGCAGGAAAAAGGCAATATAAATCCACGGCATAATTGGAAATACATATATAGTATGAAGATTACCACCCCAGTCCTGATAGGACAAAAGCGTTGTTAGCCACTTTGTTTGGCTAATTAAGGAGGTGAGCGCACACCTATCTATAGAGCACGGGGAGTGTGGCACAACACTGTATTTGCAACTTTAACCCTTTACCCTCCTTTCTGTTACCTCTTTGCTGTGCTATTCTCTGTTTATTTATATATATATTGGTTACATCTTTTCTCTGTAAATATTTTTATTGCACCCTTTTGACCCTTTTAGTAATAAATCTTTCTTTATGAAAGTGTTGAACTGTTTCTATAGCTCGTTAATGCAACTTACGAATTCCCACCTGTGTGCGTTTAACCCTCTGTATAACCTGTCTGCGGTGACAGTGCTATACAGACGATTATCTCAACCATCATAGTGTTATTGGTGATATTGCAGAGTTTCCTCTTTCTCTGTACAAAAAGGAGGTGGTGGCAGTGTGAAGGGTTAATTGTGTAATTAACCTGACCCAGTAACAATCGCATTCAGGCTGCCGGTACATCGATTTGTGGTCCATTAGCTGGAAAATCGTTGTGCAGGGTACAGTTGGGCATGGCATTGTTACGCACGTGACATCGTGGCTTCAGATTGGCTAGTCCGAGTTTGATGAGAAGGTCAGGGATCTGACGCGCAATCGTCACAGGGCCTAATATGTGTATGTATGAATGTGAGTTAGGGACCTTAGATTGCACGCACCTTGAAGGCAGGGACTGATGTGAATGTACACTATATATGTGAAGTGCTGTGTAAATTGACAGCACTATATAAGTACCTGAAATTAATAAATATGTTTTTGGGGCAGATCAGTACGAAAGTAGCATAACCAGGAAAGCTTGGCTGTGGTGTTGTGCTAGTCATGTGGGGTACTTACAAAATAATTTGTTTACTTGTATAATTAACCACTTGCCCTCCAGAGAATTTACCCCCCCTTCCTGACCAGGCCATTTTTTTGCATTACGGCGCTGTGTTCCTTTAACGGACAGTTGCGCAGTCATGCAACGCTGCACCCAAATGAGATTTACGTCCTTTTTCCCACACACACGACTTAAGCTTTCTTTCGGTGGTATTTGATCACCTTGGTGACAATTTTGAAAAAAGATAATATTTTTGACTTCTTGCTATTAAACATGTCCAGTAAAAAAATTTAAAAAACAAATTCCATCATAAATTTAGGCCAAAATGTATTCTGCTACATGTCTTTGCTAAAAAAAAATCCCAATACGTGTAAATTAATTGGTTTACATGAAAGTTATAGCATTTACAAATGGCGGTATATATACTGGAATTTTTTTTATACTAGTAATGGCGGCGATCAGCGACTTATAGCTGGACTGTGGGACTGCGATGAGCATTTTGACACTGGGTGGGAACTGACTGTCACTGACATCCAAATGACATTAAGTCTAGGTTCACACCTACGCGTTTTCCATTGCATTTTGCAGAAACGCACAGCAGTCCATTTAACATGATTTCCTATGGGACAGGTTCACTTCTCCGCGTTTTCAAGTTGCATCAAAGTTGGACAAAAGTAGTGCAGGAAACTACTTTCAAGTTGCTGTGACTTGAAGTCGCACAGAATGGTACTCATTGGGAAATATGGGGTGCGACTTGTAATGCAACTTTGGACCCTAAAGTCACATGACAAGTCACAGAAGTGTGAATGAACTCTAAGGCTCAATTCGCACTCCCACAACTTGGGATTCGATTTGTGAGACCCCCAAGGTGCATGACATGTGAAATCCCATTTTAGTCAATGAGGGCTGTCATAATTAGCACTACTGAAGTTGCTCTGACTTTAGAAAAGGTGCCTGTACTACTTCAAGGCGACTTGTATCTGACTTGTGCCCATAGACTTTAATGGAAGTCACCTCCTTATCTAGATTGATGTGATTTGGATCTGACATTACAGGAAAATTACCAAGGCAAAGTAATATAGCATGAAAGTTGTGCATCAAAGTTGTGCTGAAGTCGCATCAAATCACCAGGAAGTTGCGTGACTTTCAGGTGGCAGTAGTGTGTACTAAGCCTAAGGAAGGGTTATAACCCCCTTCAGATTTTTTTTTTTTCACCATCTGTGTCCATTGCTGAGATTTCCCTTCACTTCCTATGCCATAGCCAAACAGAAAGTGTGAGGAAATCCCTGCAAATTAAGGGAATCTCTTGGGATCCCCATGGGAAGATTTCCCCTCAATTACTTTACTGGGGACAACCCAAAGTTTGGGATTTTCTTTTACTTCACTTGTAACAATAATGGATACAGGACAAATAGAGAGGGAGAATCTCCTTAACAGGGACACAGACAGCAATAACAACATGAGAGGGGTACTAATCCCTCTCCCCTCTATCCAAACCTCTCCCTTGTCCACAAATATGTACATGCGCAGTAAGCCCTCCCTTTTCCAGAAATCTATATATGCACAGTGTACTCTCCCATTTCCACAAATCCAAACTCATGCAGTATGCTCTCCCTCGTCCACAAATCTACATATGCAGTGTGCTGTCCCTCATCAACAAATCGTACATGCACAGTGTGCTCTCCCTCATTCACAAATCCATACACTCACAGTGTGCTCTCCCTTGTCCACAAATCTGTACATGCATAATGTGCTTTCCCTCATCTACAAATCAGTACATGCGCAGTGTGCTCTCCCTCGTCCACAAATCCATACATAGTGTGCTCTCCCTTGTCCTC